AGATGAGAAGAGGGAAGGGACGGATGGGTGGGTGGGGGGGGGAGTATTTGAAATGGGGGACTGATTGTGGGATGAGGATGGAGCGGGGGGGGGGGGGTTAATTCGATGGATGGGGGGAGGGGGGGAAGGGAGTGGATAGGGAAGTGAGCGAAGAAAATGAAGTGATTAACGAAAGGGTGATGTTGAATGTTTATTTTTATTTTTTATATTTTTTTATATATTTTTTTTTATAAAGGGTTGGGTGGGGGGGGAGGGGGGGAGTAGGTGGACGGTTCAGGGGGGAGAAAGGAGATGAGGGAAAGGGAGATTGGGGATTGGAGTAGAGAGAAAGAGAGAGAGAAAGAGACATGAAAGAGAAGGACAGATTCTGAAGGGAGGGTGTGAGTGAGATAGGGAATTACCGAAGAGAGGAAGAGAGAGAGGAAGAGAAAGCGAAATATGAGAAGAGAGAGAGAGAGAGAGAGAGAGAGAGAGAGAGAGAGAGAGAGAGAGAGAGAGAGGAGAGGAGAGAAGAGAGCGAGAGAGAGGAGAGAGAGAGAGAGAGAGAGCTGAGAGAGAAGGACAGATTCTGAAAAGAGAGAGAGAGAGAGAGAGAGAGAGTTAGGAAAGAGAGGAAGTGAGAGATAATGAGAGGACACACTGTAAGGGAAGTGAGAATAGATTCTGAGGAGGAAGGAAAGTGAGAGAGTAAATGAGATAAGGGACGGGGGAAAGAGGAGGAGTGGGGGGGGGGGTAATAGACTGGGGGAGGGGAGAGGAGAGGAAGAGAGAGGAATGTGAGGACTTTGTGCCTGACATGAGAGAGAGCTGCCTTGGCCTCCAGCTTACCTAGAGCTCTTTCTTAAGGATGGCAGACTCTTCGATACATGGAATCATATTTTTCATACACATGTAAAAGTACTAGCATACAATTATACGCGCGCACACACACACACACACACACACACACACACACACACACACACACACACACACACACACACACACACACACACACACACACACACACGCACGCACACACATATACAGACACACACACACACGCGCGCGCGCGCGCACGACTAACAACGGTGAAGTGAAACGAATACACAATAAAATTTAAAATATTACAAGAGTGAAAGAAAGAAAACGAAAAAAAAAGTTTGGTTAAGAAATATAAGACAGTCTGACGTTAATAGCATACAATAAAAGGAATGATAAGAGTAAGACATACAAAATAAGAAAAAAATGACTACAAATACAACAAAACAAACGAACAATAACACACGGTAACAGAACGATAAACCAGAAACATGCAATAGATTTAACATTATCAGATAGTTACAGCAATGCATCTCCCACGAGAGAGGGGAGTCTTTGCTTAACCTTTGAGAGAATCTTATGCCCCTTTTTCCGTGATGAATTCGCATCCTTTTTACGTTGGTGAGATGCATGTGAGGGGGAAAAGGGGAAAGGGGAAAGGGGAGACCACTCCCCTCTTCTGCAACGTGTTTGCAATTTAGCCTTGCAAAGTGTAGGTTGCTGGGACACGATTTGCATTTCAGTTTTGGAGACTTGAGGCTTGAGCCATTTAGCAATATGCATTCGTCGTCTCCATTTGAAGATTGCTTGGGGGTATGGCTTGCGGGTGGAGACACGCACGCATGCACACACACACACACACACACACACACACACACACACACACACACACACACACACACACATACACACAGACGGAAATATCCCCCTCCCCCTCATTCTCTCTCTCTCACAAACACACTCCCTCTCTCTCTCTTCCCCCCCCCCCCCCCCCCTTTCTCTCTCTCTCTCACATCCACACATCTGTTTACATGGCAGATATTCCCTCTAACCTTCTCCCACTCCCTAAGAACCCTTATGCAAAGGAAACCTGCAACATTACACTTCATTCTGCACTAAAACCCGTCTGGCTTAATTAAGGTCCATCTTTACTGCCGAGGACCGATTACCGGGAACAACATGCTCGGGTTATTAAAGCTTGCAAATTACCTAGTGTTAGGAAGTCATTAAGCTGGATCTAATTGACAATTACGCACGGGAAGGAAGGCAGGTTTGATTCTGGGATTGCTTCTTCACGCATACACACACACACGTACGTACACACAAACGTACATACACACACACGTACACACACGCACGTGATATGTATGTGTATCTAGCCGTATCTGTATTTGTTTATTTCTGCCTATATCTGTATGTATATATTGTTATATTGGTATGTATATCTCTGTATCTATATCTATGTTCAAATGTATCTCTCTCTCTCTATATATATATATTTATATCTATCTATCTATCTATCTATATATATGTCGATCTATCTTTTTTCCATCTATATATATATCTACAGTACATGTATATACACATATACACATGAACGTATATACATACTGTATATATACACACATGTGCTTGAGTAAACGTATCAATCAAAGTGACTGATTCATCTGTCTAATATTAACAGATTGTATGATGAATT